CCAAGTAAGCCACAGCACCTAAACTTTAAGGGAAAATGCTGACCCCTCAACAAATTCACACAAGCCACCTTGAAACGTCTTGTACTCAAAAGCAAGAAATAGTAACAATGCTAAAGGTCAAATTCATTTTTCCAGCTATGAGGAACAGATTCATTTTGAAATAAAATCTCTTCCCCTTAACAGTCAGATGATTATACATCCTGACATAACTGTCTTATATAGTGACCATTTAACCTTTATATTATTTTAAGCTCGCACAATCTAACTTATTCATCTTACCAATCTCTTGGTGTCCTTCAATGTCTCCTAGAACTGTCAGTGAATCATACAAACATCTCTCTGATTCCTCGAGGTCAAAATCAGCAAAGTCCAGCTGTAATAAAACTTCAGATTTAAAAGCATACATGCAAGGTTTATTCTTTTTTTTTTCAAAGATGTGTTTATTGAGCACTTAATTACCTTAACTATCTGTCCAGGAGGAGCGTAGATGACCCAGCGGAGCGTACAGTTATCACCATAGGATTGTGGGTAATTTGGAGTATGGATTGAAACCTGATCCTCAACCAGAACAAGGATCCCACATGCTAATGAGACACACAGTGTGGGAAAAACACAAGAACGGGTACACGTGTTTTAACCTCAAGGGGGGCAATTAGATTAAGCATACTTACAGGAAAAAAGCTTCTTAAGCAGCGAGATTCATCATCTTCACTGCCTTTCATATAGAATCTGTTTTTGGGACATCAAGTCATGAGAAATTTGCTTATATAATGTAACAACACAGTGGTCCACTTGTACCATACAGTGCAAACACTTTTTCTCCTCCTTTGTTTCCTTCATATTTTGCTCCTTGTGATTCAAATTAGCGTTGAATGGAAATGGAGTCTGATTAGTGTTTTTGTTTTGACAAAGATAGAAATGCTAAACTGAAGCCAGATCAGAACCATAGATAATTTGGAAGAAGAGCAAATAATTTTTTAACAGATAAAGCAGCAAAGGAGCAATTATAATAGGACTGAATAGAAACAAAAACAAAAAATAAAGTTATTTAACTGCTTTGTCTTTGATTGACTTAATCTTTCAAGACACTGAAATAATTTCACTGTGTTTTGTACCATATCTATTTATTTATTTTTGCACTCTGAATCTTCCACATCAATGCCTTTTTGCACCATGTCTCTCCTATACTGTTTAAATTTGATCACTGCTGCACTTTATGAATGGAAATGTTCTTTTTCACTGCTAAGCTGCTGCTCATTTAATGTTGGAAAGCTGTATAAATGAAATTTCCTTTTTTATACACACTGTGCAGATAAAATGACACTAAAGTTTGTCCAATTCTAAGTCGAAAAAATAATTTGGGCTCATTCTTCTTCACAATATCTGCTTTAGTTCTTTCGAGCTTACAGGCTGTTTCTACACAGACAGCTTTGAAATTTGCATAAGCCATGGCAGCAAGTTTATTTTCAATTTATTTGTAATCAAAAGATATTGGTCTGGTTGAATATTTATTCTTTAAAGATGGAGAATGATTTTGTTTTTGATTTGCTGTCTTTTACCTGTATGAGCAGCAGAACGCTCTTCTTTAACAAGCATTGTTCTTCTAGTACTTGCAGTTCTGTAGTCTTTTCCTGTCTCTGACAGCAAAACGCGTCTGTTATGCAATTGGATGGTTAGATTTGTGATTGATGTGACATTAACCAATCAGCCGATAGGACCCCAGATCACAGATTGCACTTACAGCTTAATTTAGCACAGATTTATTCTTTGTATGTGTAAACAGACTATTTATGGGTGACCATGTAAAAGCATTTGTAACTCACAATAATCTCATCTCAGTCCTTTCCATCAGGTTTTAGAAAGAGCCATGTTTCCCTAATAGTTCTGTCAAAGGTGGTATATGACATTATTGTTTCTCTTGATAAAATAAAATAACATTAGTTTCTTTTTATAAATTTATCAGCATCTGTTTATCCTGTGAATTATTAAGCTTTGATAGTTAGACTTCAGTTCTACAGTTTTTCGGAGCAATGTTGCCTGGTTCAAACATATAACAAAAATAAGGCAAATTGCATTAAATATGATGATATTTGTTGTGCTGCTGTAGATGTTCACAGCGGGGTGCCACAGGGATCAATATTAGGTCCTCTTATATGTATAATTATATATAAGGGGCGACAGTGGTGTTGGATGTAGGAGTTTGCCCTGAAATCGAAGTGTTGACGGTTCAAGCCCCGACTCCGACGTTCAGTGTCGTTGTGTCCTTGGGCAAGACACTTCACCTGCATTGTCTACTGATGGTGGTCAGAGGGCCCGGTGGCGCCAGTGTACGGCAGCCTCGCTTCTGTCAGTGAGCCCAAGGGCAGCTGTGGCTACAATGCAGCTTGCCACCATCAGTGTGTAAGTGGGTGAATGAATTTAGTGTAAAGCGCTTTGGTCAAGTCTCCTGACTTGAATAAAGGTGCTATATAAGTACATGCCATTTACCATAAATAAGGGCAGAATGGGCCTGATGCAGACTTACAATTTTATGCAGATGATTCTTTTATTTATTTAAGTGGAGGAAGAAAACCGAATGCTTTTTTTTAAATTTGAAACTTGTTTCTAATTCTGAGAATGTATTTTTCCAGATCTAAGGGGTTTCAATCTGCTGAGGAAATGAAATATCTGAGCATTTTGATTGAGGATGTCCTCACTTTTAAACCCCGAGTGGAAAATCTTGTAAATAGGCTTAAATTGAAGCAGGGTTTCATTTTCCAAACAAGTTATGTTTTCCTTAAGCTTCAAGAAAACCAGCTTGTAATTAAATCGATTGTATGTGATTGCTTCTTCAGAATGATGCTTGACTCTGTTAATCTCTCCTCTCTGACGTTCATTACTGTGAATTGTGAACACACTGTTGTGATTTATAGTCGCAGCTGTTATGGTTTGGTTTGGCTACTAAAAGGAATTCCCATTGGTTAACTTTTATTTACAAGGCATTACTGGACTGCTTCTAGCAACTATCAGTTCTACAATCACACTGAGACATTTTGACTCTGCTGCTTCTTCCTGTCCCTCTTCCTCGGACTGAATGGAGCAAGAAAGACTTTTTTTTCACTCAGCTCCCTGCTCCTGAAACCTGTTAAACTTTTTAAATGAACTAAACTTAACTACCAAACTTAATAGCTTTCACTAAAACACTAGTAAACAAAGCAACAATAATCATGGCAAAAACACAAAACCATGGCTGGATGCTTCTTTTTTGTCCATCCACATATTTTAGTCTCCAGAAGCATACTGTATCATGTTATTTTGTAGATTCTATGAAAAATAAAAGCATAAAACATTTCTACATATGCAGTGTTTTTCCCGACACTGTTCCGGTGTTGCTGGAGGTGTTTTGCTCCATACCTGGAGGAAAGTGTCCCTTGACGCCTCGATGCCTGATTGCAAAGCCTTGCCCTGTTCTGTTAATGTCAGAGGAGAAAAGCAGCATTGCATTCTGGGAATTCTGTAGAAGCACTGGGCCTGGTAATAACTGACCGCAGAGTATTGCTGTAAACAGAAACACAGCAGGACACAGGTGAACTTCAGTTTTGCTCTATTCTATAATAAGTTTTCCTTTATTAAAAAAAATGATTGTCAAGACTCTGTAGAGAAATTGATTAATTTGCTCTTTTGTGTTTTGAATATTTTAAGTCATTTTGCTTTTAAATTTTGATCATTTTTTGTCAAAAAGTCTAATTTTCTTGGTTTGCATCTTATTGATAAAATTACATAATTTAAGTTTTAAGTTTCTAAATTTAAAAAAGTTTTCCTGTCCTGAAAACTGCACTTTTCTAACCCCACAAAGTCTAAATGCACCATAAATGCATAATTACAGGCTCATTTTAACTGAACATTTTGACAAAAATCGCTGAATCATTAAATCTTATGGACAAATGTATGACATGAGGTAGCATCTTCAGTGCTTTCCAGCCAGGCTTTAAATTATACCATAGTGCTGAAGCTACAGCTGAAAGACATTCTGAATGACATGCATCTTTTTAATGATTGTTCTAGAACTACTGCTTTGGTATCTCTTAACCTCAGTGCTGCATGGTTAATTATATTATATTAAATGAAAGACTGGATAATGCATGGGAGTTTTGTGCCAAACTAAGTTCTCTTTTGGGGAACAGATGCTTCTGGGTTGACAAAAAAAAAAAAAAAAAAAAAGACTTGTGGGAATATTTTACTTAAAGGTGATAGCTACAAGTTTCTTCCCCCTGGCCAGTAAGATGCAAACTCGCACTCATCTGCTTAACTGAATGTTTGCCAGATGGATGCCAGATCTGCCTCTTCTAATGCTCTTTATGGAGTTATTTCTCAGCTCTATCACTGAACTGCTGGTATCTATCAATGCCTGAGCTCCTTGACTTCAACCTAACATTCCTATTGGTGCAGAATCCTTATTGCTGACATTGGCATGATAACCAATTATATTTCATACAGAAAATTTGCTGTTTTATTACATTTTTTCAGTAATATTAATACTTGCATTGTCCACCACTCTAGGCAATGTACGGATGATTTATTTCTGAAAAATGAATGCTTTTGATTCAAAAGTTAAAATATATAAAAATTTTTTTTGTATTTCACCAGTTAAAAGCCAGTGAGATTTTAAATCTAATTTTATAAAGGTGACCTGAACAAAAACAGCTCTATAGTATTTTAAAGGAATAGTACACCCAAAACATGATTAGCCTTCATTTTCTACTCACCCCCATGCTGAACAACACTCTGGAGTACTTTTTTGATATCTCAAATGCATCTGGAGATCTGGGAGGCTTCTTGCTGTCTGCTGACATTCAAATAATGGAGGTCTATGGCGCCCGAGGCAGAAAGGTCCATAAAAGTCCACAAAAAACGTGTCAATATTCCTCCATACTGCTCGTCCAATGTATTCCAAGTGTCCTGAGTGGGTAGCATCCAGAATTTACTCGAAACGAAGTCATTTAGAATGTTTTTAGAGCATAAACAGTAGTGTATAGGATTTCCTAAAAGCGCGTTCACGAGTCTACGGAAACCGCGGCAGACCAAAGCAGATGAAAGTGCGCATTCAGCGTCTGCTCTGCTGATAATGCAAGCGTAGAAGAAGAAATGTGCTGTTTACCTGTGCAAAGAAAGAAACAAAGAAAGAAAAATGTCTGAGGACTTCAGTGTTGAGGAAGAGCATGAGTTCTTTGCCGAGCTGAATGCGCACTTTCATCTGGTTAAGTGCTCCAGAGTGTTGTTCAGCATGGGGGTGAGTAGAAAATGAAGGCTAATCATGTTTTGGGTGTACTATTCCTTTAAGCGTAAGTTCTAAATGATCAAAATATAAATATAAGGGGAAAAAAGTTTTTCCAAACAATACAAATGTTTAGCTAAGATTACAGATTACTACAATAGCTGTAGACAGATGGATATAAATACCACAGAGTATTCTGTTTGTTACCAGATAAGTTTACTGTGATCTTAGAAACATTGTCAGAGTAAAGAGTCATAAAAGGATACAGAAAAAACACTGAATGGTTCTATTTTCAGTAGATCAGATAGAAAAAGGATAGAAATTGAGATTTATTGATCTCATAATGGAGAAGACAACTTTCTGCATTTAGTCCATCGCCATGGGGAGCCAAGGGGAGCAGTGTTGGGCGAAGGGTCTTGCTCAGAGACTCAGAGTGCAGGCTGTGTGGATCGAATCGGGTACTTGCAACCTTCTCAGAGCACCAGTGCACTGCTCTAAGCACTAGGCCAACACTCTCCCACAGTACATAGCTACTGCAGTGTGTCTTTACTGGTCTATGTACAGGGAAATCAGGCAGCTGCCACTTCCGGTATATACCGGCAACATACTATGCCAGTTCTAAAATAACTTGCCTAGAAAACCTTGTGGTTGGATCCAGCAATTTTACATGTTTCAAAATCATCCATCCATCCATGCATTTTCTAGCATGCTTATCCCAAGTGGGGTCAGGAGGGGTGAGAGGCAGGGTACACCCTGGACAGGTCGCCAGTTCATCGCAGGGCAACACAGAGACACACAGGACAAACAACCATTCACACACACACTCACACCTAAGGGGACTGTAGAGCAGCCAATTAACCTAACAGACATGTTTTTGGACTGTGGGAGGAAGCCGGAGTACCCGGAGAGAACCCAGGGATGCTCAGGGAGAACATGCAAACTCCATGCAGAAAGACCCTGAGCTGGGAATCAAACCCAGAACCTTCTTGCTGCAAGGCAGCAGTGCTACCCACTGAGCCACTGAGCAGCCGTTTCAGAATCACAATTACTTTATTAATCTATAGCGGGAAATTCTTACATACATTTTTTTCTTCTCAAAAAAAAAGGAATTTTACATGTTGATCACAGCATAAAGTTTTTGTTTTCCTGTTGTTTTTCCTTCAACTTCCTGTAAATCCTTTTGATTGCATTGTGTATGAATGGTGCTACAGTATATGGAAAAAAGACCTCCTCCTGGAACAGAGAAGGTAAGAAAACTCACCAACAGGCCTGTGGGTTGATCCTGAGACTGTGAGCCGGTCATACAGACAAGAAGAGTCATTTTCCACATCAAAATGCTCAAACTCCAGGAGAATACTGTAACCTGGAGGAACAATGATGCTCCACAAACACAACCTGCAGAAGAATACACCAAGTAGTTTACTGTTTTGCTTTTTTACTAGTTCATTTATCTTTCCATTTATGATCTGTTCCTGATGCTGCACCAGCTTAGAGGACTCTTCCTTCATCAAGAATTCACTCACTGGTTATTATCATAGTGGGTGTTAGGAAGACTGGGGTTCCTGATCCAACCTTGGTTTTCAGAGAGCAGCCCATCTCTTACGCTGCAAAGTCCTGACAAGCATGCATAGATAACACATGTGCATGTTATAAAATAAACACGAATAAGAACTGGTGAGAAAAGGAGGCCTCACCCGATGTGTTTTGCTGCTGCTGCTCAGCTAAGGGAAAAACAAAAAATCCACAGAGAAAAAAGATCAACAGCTTGTTTAACAGATGTATGCATTTTAGTCAAAATATATTAAATACATTATTTAATAGTACAGAGCACCACACAAGCATTAAGATACTTTAATTTAATTTATGGGAAATTAAACTTTAATTCAATGGTTATATATTTATTATTCACAGACTTCACTGATGACCTTTCAGGTGACTCGTATTTTCACACATTTGGCTTAAGTGGAACATTGAAATTGATGTTCAAGCACTTTTATTTATTTATTTTTTTTTTATTTTGAACATGCTTTAATGCTTTAATATTGCAGGTTTGTAAGCAGGTACAGTGCCTCGCCAAAGTAGTGCATTTAAGGCTTCATGAATAATATATTGTAATTCTTTGTGAAGAATCAACAACAACTGGGATACAATCCTGAAGTGGAATTAACATATTGGATAGTTAACATTTTTTAACAAATAAAAAGCAAAAATTTGGGTGTGCAAAATTATTCAGATACTTTGTAGCACCACCTTTTGCTGCGATTACAGCTGCCAGTTGTTGGGGTATGTCTCTATCAGTTTTGGACATCAAGAGACATTTTGTCCATTCTTCCTGCAAAACAGCTGGAGCTCAGTGAGGTTGCATGGAGAGCTTTTGTGAACAGCAGTTGTTTTAGATCTCGATTGGATCCAGGTCTGGACTTTGACTAGGCCGTTCTAACACCTGGTCAACAGGTGCTATCTTCCCATCAATTGTAACCATTTTCCCCTTTTCCTGCTGAAGAAAAGCAGGCCAAAACCATGATGCTGCCACCTACATGTTTCACAGTGGGGATGGTGTGTTTAGGTTGATGAATTGTGGTGCTTCTAAACTATAAATATTGTACCTTCATCCACATGTTTGCTGTGTCTCCCAGGTGGCTTCTGGCAAACTTTAAAGAAGACTTTTTATGGATATCTTTGAGAAATGTCTCCCTTTCATAAAGGCCAGAATTGTGCAGAATGATTGTTGTCCTCCAGTCAGAGTCTCCCTCCTCAGCTGTAGACCTCTGTAGTTCATCCAGAGTGATAATGGGACTCTTAGCGGCATCTCTAATCAGTCTTCTCCTTGTTTGAGCTGAAAGTTTAGAAGGACGGCTGGATCTTTGTAGATTCGCAGCGGTCTGATACTCCTTCCACTAAAATAGTATAATGTTCCTAGGGATTTTTAAATCTTTGGAAATCTTTTTGTATCCAAATCTTGCTTTAAACTTCTCCACAACAGAATCTCAGACCTGCGTTCTTGTTCTTCGTGATTCTCTATAATCTTTAAACAGACCTCTGAGACGATCACAGATGAGATGCATTTATACAGAGACAGGTGGAGTCTATTTATCATCATCATTTAGTTCGATATTGGATCATTCAGAGGGCTTGCTGCACTGAAAGTAAAGAGGCAAATTGGTTGTGCATACCCCACTCTTAAGTTTTTTATTTGTTAAAGTTTAAAATAACCAATAAATTTAATTACACTTCATGATTATATTCTGCTTGTTTTTTATTCTTCACAAAAAAAAATCAACATTTAAATCTTTAAGTTTGAAGCCTGAAATGTGGCAAAAGGTCAAAAAGTTCAAGTGGGATGAATAATTTCACAAGCCGCTGTATTTAGGAACAGTTTTATCTTACAACAGCTTCATATGTTTATAGGTTACATAATGTTATAAAAAAAAGGATGGGGGTTGAGAGCAAACTTATTTTCATTAGTTCCCCCTTAGGTGCAACTGCAAAACAAGTTATCCTTGTTTAATGACATGGTGGTAGTTTGACTTACGTCTCTAATGACCCTGAGGTTTGTGTTTGAATAAATCATTGTGTGTCTCTGTGTTGCCCTGCGATGACTCGCCAACCTGTCCAGGATGTGCCCCACCTGTCGCCCATAGACAGCTGGAGATAGGCACCAGCACCCCTCGCGACCCCACTTTGGATTAAGCGTGTCTGAAAATGGATGGATGGATGTTTAACTGCTTATAATATCAAGATGAAAGTAATAAAAAAGATGAGCAGACTATTTCCCCATAAATATATCAGTAAATTCATTAGGAAAGATAAACCTTCAAATCATAAATGAAAAAAATCTTCAGAAGAATACTACTTTAAAGATACTAAAGCTATGTTTAAAGTATCTAGGATCCTACTGACTCACATATTTTGTATGTCTGTATATTTTGTATGATGGCGAAACAGAGACTCAGATATTCATCGTTCTCAAATCTGCTGTAAACCCCTTTTTTTTTTTTACTCTTTTTAAAAGCTAGAAAAATGCAAACAATTTGAGCTTAACTGCAGTAAAAAATAATAACAGTAATTTACAATAATTATACAGAAACTGTTTATTCAGATCACCCTGTCTGATTAGTAAAACATTTTGTATCTAAGATAATAAAAAACAATTTTATCTCCCATAACTATACAGAAGACAGACTCAAAATAGACAAGAGAATAGACTTTAAAATCCTTTTGTTAGTCTAGAAATTACTGAATAGAGTAGCTACAAAATTACAGACTGGTTTTAGGTCGATCAAACATTATTAGTTAAGTTTTCCATCCAACTTTCATTTTTCATCAATTATTTCCTCTTTTCTTTTAATACAAAAACCTAATTTTTATTACACACTTTTATTCTCTTTAACTATTTGTTTTGTCTTATTTTGTCACTGCAATGTACTTTTCTCTTTTTTCTCATGTAGCTGTTTTTCCTACCGTGAAATGTGCCATTATTTTTAATAAACTTGCCCTGCTACTTAGAGCAGAAACCTGCTTAGAAAATTACGTCTCATTAAGATTCCTTTTGACTAACATCTCATTCAGAGTTTGGGCCTATTGGATAAATATGATTGTGTGTGTCGTCACACCTCTAACATATCACAGAGTTAAAAAAAAAAAAACAATAAAAAGGGCTATCCTGGCTGCTTTATTATAAAACAATCATGTTGGCCTATATACCCTGCCTCAGCTTCTGCTTGATCCAGGGTAGCAGCATCCTGACATCAGTGAAAATCCCAGGAGATCCTCTCTTTGATGGAGTCCGGCGGCTGTTACGTCCCCAGCTCCTTCCACAGCCTTTACCCCAGGAGGTTATTCCCAGTGCAACCCAGTTACCATTTCCTGACCCTGTAGGACATACCAGAGGACCCCCGGAGTCTCCCTTCAGAAAAGATAAAGTGTGGAGGGAAGATATTTAGAATGACTCAGCTGATGAAGCGGTGCCAAACTGATGGGCTCCAACTGAAGCAGACAGATGTTAGAAACAGAACGAATCACTTCTACCTGGCAGGCGTCTCTTCCTCCTTCTTCTGGTCCAGCACAAAGAACTGTCATACCTGCATTGGACAATCTTTGTTTCTGTTTTGCAAATGAGCTTATGATCGTCCTTAGCGTGTATTTACACTTGGCTTGTTCTACCAACCCAAGGTGGACTTCTCTCAGGACTGTAGAAAGACGCCCCCCTGCCAAAAAAAGAATGTTTTTATAAATACATCAGTATTAAGAGACATTTGAAAGCACTTGTTGTTCAATGAAAACATTAAAACCCCTTAAAAGTTTTCCCAATTGTCAGATTACAGAAATACACTTCCACGTTATGCATTGTGGGCTTCTATTAGCATGTCATTTTAAAGTGGAATGAAAATATTATTTTCATTCAATTTGTTTAACAAATAAAATTTTAAAAGTGAAAATGGAAGAATATGTGCAATAAATTAGTCTTAATGTGAGTAAGAATCCAGCTGTTCTGTGAGGACGGTCAGAAAACACTGGTGAGCAAACTGGTGATTTTAGCCACCAGGGGGCAATCAAACTGTAACTTGATTGCCCCCTGGTGGTGGTGGCCTAGTGGTTAGGGCATAGAGTTAGGAATCCTGAGGTTGTGAGTTTGAAACCCACTCCCACAGCTTGCACGCCTAGCAAAGACCCTTAACCCAACACTGCTCCCCAAGGGAACGCAGAAAAAAACGCAGAAACCCGCCCCGCCCCCCCCCCCAGAAATGTCCAGGTTTAGCGTCCCTGAAGGCCACTGCACTGTCACAAAACCAATCAGTCTTGGAGCTTTGAAATCTGCTAGCAGACCAGTTTGGACCATTGATCTCTATTTATCCGCTGGATTGCTTGTATTCCAAAAAGAATTGAGCCACCGGCTGCCATATTGGTACTCCCCACTCCTATGGAGACACCCCATAAAAACGCCTACATGTGTAGCACTTGACTCCAAAAACAAGCAGTTTGCATTTCACAGGTAATTTCCCAGTCAGTGGATGAACTAACCAAGAAAATCCATATATACCCCGATGTATCCTATAGTAGAGCATGTAGCGTAACATTAATCTGGCTATCTCGCACTGACTTCAAGATATTGACTGAGATGGCCATTGACATTGTGTCTAATGTTAGAAAATAGAAAGTTATTCACTGTGAAATGTCAATGTAGTTTTTTGTAGTGTTTGTTGTATTTCTTATTTGAAAAAGTCATGTGCTGAAATATTTTGCCTGACTTATAGACAAAAAAAAAGGAACTCAAACATTTTTAAAGGCTAATGCACAGACAGAGCATAAAAGTATATGGCTCCCTTTTATCTCCTCTTTCTTTCATCTTTTCTCCTTTTTCCTTTCCTGTTCTACTTTCCCATTGCAGTGTCCATATAGTCTGTAATACTCCCTGCACGAATTATACTAAAGTTATTTATATGCATAAGTCAAGCAGAACACTATGGCGATAGCCGTACTGCTCCACTTGTGAAAGTAAAATCTGTTGGGCTCTTTTTGGCATCAAGACAATTATTCTTATTGCCACATTACCAGACAGGACACTGTTGAAAAAAAAAAAAGGTCGTCATGACTATAGACTTTATACTGACTATGCAATGTGATGTGCCTATTTTTTATTATAAGTTACAGTAATCTACTTATGCTATGAAACATTAAGTTTGTCCAAGTTATAAATTTATCTTTATTTTAAAAGGCTTCTAAAAATGAGAAAATTATCATTGTTCCATGCTGTAGCGCACGTATTGTTTACGCTGTGACCAGTCTAACTAGGGAGTACCAATATGGCGGCCAGTGGCTTCACTCAGCCCCAGTGACTAAATAGAGATCAGTGGTTTGGACGAGCAGAATGAGTATTGCTGAGTATTACTTTTAAAGATAAGGCCACATTCATCTCTCTAAATATGGTGATCTGTTTTGCTGACATATGTTAATGTAAATTCTTTAAAGAATAGAAACTGGGTGGTGGTGGAGTGGTTGGTGCATAAAAAGCTCATTTAATAATAGGTACAAATAAAGGAAACATTTGTTGTTAACAGATAAGACCTTTAGGCTACGTTCACACTGCAGGCCTTGATGCTCAATCAGATTTTTTGTTGAAATACGATTTTGCCGTTCACATTTCCAAATATAGGCGACTTGTATGTGATCTCATGTGTGAACTGCATTCAACCCAAGTGTCCCGCATGCGCAGTAGAGGACGCAATGACATCACAGGCCAGCGTGCTCTGTGTTTACAGAAGTAAACATGGATGGTGTTTTTATGGTCCCAACCATAAAAACACAATCTTTTCAAGATGGTTAAACATAAATACTGCTCTCTGCGTCGTCGTCCGCCACGGTTGTTGTTTTTTTTTATGCAGCTTCTGCGTAGCAAGACCCAGAATAGTGACCTTTGTCGGGTATTAATGGCGTTCAGGTTGGATAAATGCGACCTGGCTGTTCAGACACAGGTCGCATAGCCAAGTGATCTGGGTCGCATTGGAAAATATCAGATCTGTGTTGTTCAGATAGCCATGAAAAGATCAGATCCAGGTCGCATATGGGCCAAACAAACGGATTTGAGTCACTTAGGCTGCAGTGTGAACGTAGCCTTAGTGACACAGTTTTTTTTTCACTAATTCACAAAGGAAGCATCATAGGACGGGAGTCCAGCTAGTTTAAAAGCTGTAGCATCTCAAAGACTGGAGCTCTTGTACTTTGAACTGCATGTACATTGTATTAATCTGTGAGAGCCTTAGTGCTAATTCTACACCAGCAAAGCTTACATGAATTAAGGATGTAAAAAGTGTTACTTAACTGCTATACCTGTTTTGTTTGGCAGTTGCTTTCAGTTAACACATGACTGCATGCAAAGTTTAGATAAACTTGATAATTAAAAAGATATCTATCATTTTCCTGAAAATATACTATAATATCTACAGCATAAAATCCCGATAAGAATAAGAGAAAATAAAACATTGAAAATTTTCAAGTGGTTGCATTACTTCAAAACCTTTTATGGAAAATAAATACAGACTTTCTTTTGTTTTTCCCCAGCCAGCAACAGCACAGTTGGTCCATGGAGGGATTTTTAAATCAGGCTGGGGGAGGCATATCGGCGTGACACGAGCTCCTATTGAATACAGCCACATGTCAGCAACCAAGAGATCATTTTTAATAGGTAAAAAAGGGACTTAAAAGATTGAAAACTTGCCCATTGTGATGTGATGATCCAGTTCCACCAAAGCTACGTCATAGTTCATTGGAAAAGCTGGACTGTATTTCTCATGGACTGAAACAGACTTGATCTTAAAGACTTGCTCATCTTCTTCAACTCGAAGGTCAAACTCTCCCACCAGAACCAACACGCCACCCAGAAATTCTCTATGCACAAAAAAAAAGGATGCTGTTTTGGTGATTTTTCAGCGTGTGTCGGGTCATTGGAAAGATTGAATGCAGGTTTCTGTACTTTGATAGTGATGGGAAGCAGTGTGCTGCGGTCAGGACCCAGCTCTCCGTCAGAATGGCTCCTCCACAGAAATGAGAGCCTCTGTTCTGCATGGAAACCTCAATATAAAACACAAGACCGAATAAAACATTAACTGCTGCATAGAGAAGACCCAAAATTATAATAGGAGACTAAAATCTGTATAAAGTATCAAATAATCACACATCTAGGGTAAGTTTTTAACTGTAAAAAAGTAGCTTTTAAAAGGAAACACAAAGCTTAAGTAACAGACCAGCCATGGGTGGGATCCATGTGTAGCTTGGGTTCCTCCGACCACCCTCAGGAACTGAACCATTGGGTTCACCGGCGGAGCGGCACCACATTTCTGATCTGAACAGAAAGATGTAGAAGAAGCCTAGTTGCATCATTTCTGAGATATCTTTATATATTTTATACGGTAACCCAAAAACTCACCGGTCTGAACAGCAATAGCACCAGAGTTCATCCAAAAACAGAAGCAGAGCAGAACAGAGGCCCTCATCTCAGATACAGCGTCTAGAATCAGGCTCACTGCAGGGGCAGAAAGAGTTTATGACAGAGTTTATTAGCGGGCCGATAAATGTCTGCGCCGGTCATGATTGGACAAGTTTAAAGTGCAGAGCGGTGTGAGAAGTCAGCAGGAAGAACCAGACGAGAGAAGAAGATAAGGTCGTTACTGGTGTGAATCAGAATCTATTTACTTTATTTCTGTCAGAGAAACTGGGATTATCACAGCAGATCACAGCGTAGACGTGTCACACATGGATCTGAGCTACAACGATTTAAATGGTGAAATAAAATAACCAGTGGATACAGACCTTTGCATAAACAAATCTTCTTTAGATACAGTTTAGTGTTTAGTTTAAGCTGGGTATACTGTACACTGTGGGATATTTTCAGTCATTGCATGCAGCTACAGCTCACACTGTACAATGAAACCTGAGGGTTTAAAAGTTCAAAGTGACGCTCTGTTCACAATGTACGTTTAAAAACCGCCTGCCGGACCGAGCGCCGAGAGATGGTGCTGGTTGGAGTCGTCAATCTGGAAGAAGAAGAGCCTTGTTTGCACATGCACAATGCTGGAGGTTCTGGTAAATCGGCTCGTAGCTCTGCTTCAACTGCAAGATTTGCCCACAAACACCTTATGAAGGCCGACTGAATTTCAAACATGTACGATTGTCTCGTGACCATACGATTCCTGCTGGGGAGGTGGTCGTGAGTGTATACTACACGACGCAGGACTCACCATTAAGCTGGAGAATCGGCCCAGCTTGTATAAAATATAAGACTATAAATGTATTAAAAATACTGTAAAGAAAAACCTGAACTATGTAGATAAAATAAAGCTGTCAGAAAACTCCAAAACAACTGAACACACAGACAGCTACAGATAGTGGCATGGATTGATCAAACCCTGCTTATATAGTTTTTAAAAATCTCCGTAGTTAGGGGATGTCCCGATCTGATACTGATATCAGATATCGGTCAGATATCAGACAAAGAATATCAGAATATATCGGCCTGCATCTAAAATCTCTGACATCACATGTGGATAGAAACGTTTTGCCTCTATCTGCTTCCTTTAAAGTTTCATGGTTAATATCAGACGGGTCATGACTACTCTTCTCTGATTGAATAACATCATGACCAACCCGCCTCTAATACAGGGGAGAATGGAGATGGTTGCAACACTTCTTTTTTTAAACACTCTGAGATGGTTGGTCCCACACCAGCTGTTTGTTTATATAAATTAAATGGGGGAAAAAAGCTATTAAATCAAACTTTCATCTGTCTTCTTATACCGTTTTAATTCGAATACATGTTTTAGATATTCATATGAAAAAAAGTCGATGGTTGCAGCATTTTAAAAATCCATCAGTTCACTAATTAACTTTTTTTGTCTAAATAAGCATATTTTGCTGGAAATTTATATGATTTACGAAAACCTAATTAAGAACTAAATTACAGCCCTTGGTGCTCTGAAAAGTAGACAATGACATTTTGAACTACTACATTACTACTTATTGAACATCTCAAATGAACACTGTTAAAGATAGGAGGAAAAAGACGGATTCTGAAAGAAATTGTAATCTTATTAAGATAAGAGAAGTTGCTTAGAGTTACAGAAAGCAGCTGCTTACCAACTGGGCTCACATCTCATTAGTGGCTCCGATTAACAGTTAAAGAAGTATTTTATAAATCTCCAGTCTGACACATCATGACATCATACACATTTGCAGGTGAGGAGATGCATATAACATGTTAACCATGAAACATCATACAGTCAGGAAAGTATGAATAAAAATACCCCACATGAGAAAAAAATAATATTTAAAACCTTTTCTTCCAATAAATAATCTTGAATGTGTTTTCTGTTCTGCTGGTGAAGGTGAGGGTTTACCTGAGCATGTGCAGAATCAGTGTCATTAATATAACTTGTTTCTGATTGGAGTAAAGAAACCTGTGTCCGTCTCCGCTACATAACTACAAAGTGAGAAATAAAGTATCTATGATTCGTACAGATATTGTATCGGAACAATATTGGTATAGTTTCTTGAATTAAAGAGTTTATATTGGGACACAGGCTGCATCTAATGAGTATTTGGCAAATCAATTAATCTGTCAATTTGTTTTTTGATTAATTGATTAATAATCCGATAGCTAAAGGTTCCTTAAAGAAGATTTTTTACAAAATCAAACAAGATGAAAATAAAACTTTTCCACTGGATGGAGTGGAATAGGCTGGATAGAGCAAACTGACAGATGAAAAGTATTATTTTTTATCTTTAATGTAAAATTTTCATATTTTTGTTTACAATCTAAATATAATTAATGCCATGAGTTGGTTGCTGAAAAAAATATGCTAAAGGAATATTTTTCAGTCTCTATACTCCAGTTAACAATTCTTTGATTATTTCAATAACTGATTAATGACGAACAATCAGATTAATTGTTTAGGGAGACGCCTAACCAGCATCAAATGTTCTAAACCTGCTAATATTACAATTCAGTGCTTGTTACAGTGCTACACCACAAGCTGTAATAATAACTAATATTCATTCAGAATCTTTGTTATATTACAATTTTAACTATATTAGTCACGAGATGAATGGCTAGAAAGATGACAATAACAATAAAGCTATTTAAAGCAACCCTGACTATGCGTTGTTGTTTTTTTAACTGTTTGTTTATACAGATTAGCCAGTATTGACAGAAACTTAAATGCAAATGTTGTAAATGTTGAGATCAGAGATGCAAACATGTCTGAAACCAACCAGAACTCGACGCTTCTATCCCAGATGATAAAACAGGTTTCCCTCCTAAACCCTTTTGTTGGCTCTGATGCTGGTTGGCTTATTAAGTCTGACCTTTAAGGCAGGGATTTATAGGACTGGAAACTGGACACCGAGGCCAAACCAAACTCCCCCTAACAGGTTTAAATCTGCAGCAAGAACAAGAAAAAAACATTAAAACACACAGAGAACAAAAAGCTGAAGTTTTACCTGCAGCCGAACAAAAGCAACAAATTCTTTATCAGGGTTCTTGGTATTTAAATTCAAATTGAGTGAGCTTCCTTTTATTCCCATTTATAAGGAAAAAATGTGGGAGGAGTCACAGGGAAACAAGATAACTACCTGCTACTCTGTTTCTGTTTTTACTGGAAAGACATGAGGAATGAAGTTTCCCATAAACTGGACTTTAGATTCTGCTACTTTGGGAGCTGTTGTTGAGATTTAAAACTCCTTTAAACACAAACTAAGTCATTTTAGAGAGAATTTTTATTTGGAGAAATCCAAATAAAACAAATGTGTTTTTATTACAAAAGATAATATATATTTATATAACATTTCTTACCAAAAATGTCAATTTTTCCCTTTTTTAACCACCATTACTCATTGTATGAGTCTCATAGGGCTTTATTTCCATTTTTACAAACTGATGACTCAGTCTCTTTTATAGATATTTCATTGTTCTGTATCTTTGACTTGTAATGCAATTACCATGAACTCATGGTGAACTATTTTGCTGACACAAGTTCATGTACGGTAGCTTCTTTAAAGAATAGAAACTGGGTGGAGAGTTGGGTGCATAAGAAGCTCAATTAAAAAAAACGTACAAATAAATAGGAAACATTTGTTGTTAACAGGTAATACCCTTAACTGGGTCTTAGACCCATTGATCCTTCACAAAGGAAGCGAGTCCAGCTAGTTTAAATCTTTAAATCCGTTCCATGGTCTAGTTTTTTGGGGGTATATTGTGACAATAACCTACTCTAAAGGTCGGTTTCATGCTAATGGTTTCTTTTTTACTGCACTCTAAAGCTACAACATCATTACTGCTAACGAGACTCAAATTTAATTATTGCAGAGGTCAGTAGATGGTTAGAATGGGTCAGGGTTTAGTTGTGGTTTGAGGACCCAAATGCAGAGGCAGAGAGGCTGAGGAGAGTTCTTGCAGTTTAATGGTGCAAAAACAGTAAACAAAGGCAGGAAACCAAAAATCCAACTAATGAAAACCAAAGCAGAACTAAGGAGATATCTGGGGAAAACCAACCACAAGGAGCCAGGAAGAGACGAGGTAGGTGGACAACAGCATGGGAGGACAGCAAAGACAAGGAACCAACAAGGAGTGACAGCAGAGGGAGAGAATACGTAGCTGACTGAGACAAAGGGAGGGCTAACGAGCTGACAAGGAGCAGGTGTGACTGGAGACAACGAGGGAGCCAAGGGGAAAGGAACACACAAGAGGGCAACAGAAAAACATGAGAACATAAATCTAGAAATTACAACAAAACTGCAATTAAACCAATAAAACTAGGAAAGAAGGAGCAAAGTAAAGCACAACAGAATCAAGAGCATGACAGAATCTAAGACGGAACATATACTAAATAGAATGTTAACAAGAAATGTAAATAATATTAGATTTGTTATGTACTTTTTATTCTAGTTTCTATTGGCTGAAGCTGAAAAGAGAGATTTTTTTAGGAATCTACAATCTTTTAGATATGAAGGATAGCAGCTATATTGGACATAAGATGGGATGAAGACCAGAAATACCAGGTTCTGAGGAAATAGAAAAAAAAAGGGAAGCTTCATAGATGCGAGGAAGGATGCAGAGAGTTTGCTGTGACCGAGTAGGATGCTGAGAAATGATCGACTTCAAAGAACAGAATGAGAGAGAGGAACTTTGGAAATGTGCAGATTATCCCATTAAAAGGTCATTAAACCTCCTTAATATTTACCCTGTCCTGTGCCAAGCACCTTGTGATAACAGGGTGTTTAGAAATAAACTGTTTTGTTATACAGGTCCTTCTTTCATTATTTGCTGTTAAATCTTTTTTTTCTTTTTAAAAATAACGAGGGATTTTCTGATTACCATAAAGTAATCAAGTTAATGTAACTTATTGTGAATTTTCTATGATGTCTTTTTATTTTTGTTGTATGTTTTTATTTATTTTTATTTTTTCCACATCTGCATAGCACCAACTGTTTAGGAGGGACTGATCTACTGCCATTTCATCCATTTTATAAAGTGAAAAAGTAATAGTGGTTTCTATGGTAACATGTTAATGGTTTTAAAGTTGTGGTTCGTTTTTATTTAGCTGTTTTTGCTGCTAGGTTGTGGAACGTTTTACGACCAGAGCTACGGTCCTGAACTGACCAAGGAGTCTTAAATCACAGCTTAAAACACATCTGCTCAGAGATGCCTTTCACTCCCAGATGTTTAACAGAGGAGGATGTTTGCTTTTAGTTCATATTGTGGTTTATTTTCATTAGAAGTGTTCCTGATTTCTACTGTTTTTTATTATTTAATCCATTTTATCTTGATATTTTTTTTTGCCTTTTTTACATTTTTATATTTGATGTATTTTGCCTTGACATCTTCTTGTTTTATATTACTTTGTAAAGCACTATATGAACAATATTTATCATTTATTTATCAGCTAATTAAATAAACTTTGTTTTAAATTAGTTCCGGTCTCTTGTCTTAGAAACTCAACCTCTGGTGTATTTTATTGGGATTTCTATGTAACACAACAACAGAAACATTGTGTCTGAATTTGTAATATAACAAAGATTATAACTTTGTACAAATAAAAACTGGAGTGTATTTCTCGTCACTGACTCAATAATTGGCAGAAACACATTTTACTGGTAATACAGTAACTAAATCTTAAAACAGATTCTAAAATGGATTGAGGTCTGAACTTTGGGCGTTAGGGTTGTGCAAATAATCAATGTTTGATGTATCATATATATCCTATAATATTACAACTTAAAAAAGGCACAAAGCAATACTATCTGTTTAAATCTAAGGCTCCCTAAGGCAGGAAAATGTTTATCAGTTGATGGCTCATTTGGCTATTACTCCATCACCCCTCAGTGGGAGTAGTAAAGGCATTTGATGCTAATAATAACAGGTTATGGTGGAGCCAGACTGAAGCTGACAATTAGAGCTGAAAAACATAGGGTCACCTAGCAACCTACCATGCTGCTGCAGAGGATCACTAAAGAAAACGATCAGTAATCTACACTGAAAACATGTGCATGAACCAGATCCTCATTTACAATGCAAAAATATTTTATCTGCAACAGAGCTGTTTATTTTTGTCCTTTGTTTGTTCCTCACACTGGAAAAAACGATCTAGAAATAAGTAAAAATGTCTTAAATTAAGTGTATTTCCCCTTAATTTGAGTAGGTAAATGAGATAGTTTGCCAATGGAATGAGTATTTTTACTCTGATTAATAAGATAATTAGATAATATGCACTTAAAATTAAACCATGCTATTCTGTTTTCTTATTCTAAGTGTAAATTGCCTTGTTCCATTGGCAAGATGTATCTTTTACTACCTTAATCCAAGGTGAAATGCACTTATTTTAAGAAAAAAATGACTCATCTAGATTTAGATTTTTTCCAGTGCAGTGGTAAATTTATTCTCTATGAGCTGAAAATCTCTGGGAAAATGGAGGCACACATGGAAAACTATAGATAAAAATTATAATAAAATAGAATCAATGCAAAACTGAATCAAAAGGAAAATTCTTTCCTACAGAATATAAAAATTTTTGTCCAACAGAGTAGTGATACCTTTTGGTAATGATTCTTTTTTTCAATATTTAGGCTGAATCATTTCCTTCTTTGCTGTTTTATCCTAATCAAGGTTTAGATATTGTCATATTGAAATTAATCAAATCTTTACTGTCAACTACAGAGCTCTCAGAGCCTTAACATAACATAACTACTGAACTGACAACCTTATCAAACCTGATTACTGGTTCATTTGAGCTTTATTTGGTTTTAGTTTCATCGTCCTGCTGGAAGGTGAACTTCCACTGAAGTCTAACGTTCTGTGCTGCTTCCCTCAGGTTTTCTCCCACATTTAGCCTTTTTTTTTAGTCCTTCAAGCCTCATCCTGAGACTAGATCTCCCAAATATGTTAAAGCCAAATATCCTTACAGCATGATCCCTCCAGCATTAAGTTTATTTTGGTAACAGTATGTCCAGTGAAGGCTTCATCTGAACAATTCGTCCACCAGATGTTTGCTTTGTTGCCTAAACAGCTTACAGCAAACTGCAATCAGGACTTTTTGATCACTTTCCAAATTTTACAAATGGTAAGATATCTGTAGGGGCTGATTTTTCATCATTAAATCTTTTTTTCAAAGCTGCAGGGAGTTTTGTATGTATTGAATTGTGTTTCAGTATTATTTCAAAGAAATCATTTAGTAAAAAAAAAAATTATTTTTAGAAAAAAAGGTAATCTAGGAAAATGGAACTGTGAAAAAAGATTTTATCCAAAAAAAAAAAAAAAAAGAGTTTAAAGCAACTTTGTTGTTTTCTCAGATTTTCTTACTTCATTTTTAAATAAAAATACAAAAAGATAATAAAAAAATAAAAAATAACAACAAAACATAGATGTTACTTTTAGGTTGCTTTCAGTGCAACTAGAGGGAGAAAGGGAATGAAAGATAAGTTCTACTTCTTCATACCCTTTTCAGACAATTTACAGTAAGAAATAATCAATGACAGACATTAGGGTAAATATAATGCTTGTTAAGGGTAAACATTGTTTAGTGCATTTCTATTTATGTTCAAATTATTTAAATCGAATCGGAACAAGAAATTTAAATTAATGTTTACCATCATTTTTTATGTGATACACATTTGTTAGTATTTCTGAAATTGATTTAATTATTGTTATTATTTGATTATTTCTGAAATTGGAATTGTTTTATTTATTATTATTTGTTCTTTTGATTCATTTATATTATTTGTTAATTTGATTTATTTATTTATTTATTTTTGTTACTAATATT